TTAAATCATACTATAACTACTAAAAACATAATTAGACTATAATACGAAAAGTCTCAACATACCAAAAAATTTCTGTTCTGTGTATTATGCTCGATTTTGGCTGCTGAAATTTGAAGAAAGGGGAGTGGTTATGTTTTTACAACTGCTGGTGGTGTGCTATTTATAGGAAAATCTGCCTACTATTCACCGTTTTTGTCGAACACGGTGAACACCATCACCGCGTTTGTCTCAAACGGTGAATAGTTGGTAGCTGCGACCTAATTTTGACCTACCAGGGGTGGGAAACGTGGGAAAAGATCACCGCGTTAAACTACAACGGTGAATGAGTTCACCGTTTTTAACCAAAACAGTGATGCATTCACCGTTGTTAACAAACGCGGTGAACCCTTCACCGTTTTAATATGAAACGGTGAATACTTCACCGTTTTAGTTAAATACGATGAAGTATTCACCGTCTTCGTCAAATGCGGTGATGACCTTCACCGCGTTTGTCTAAAACGGTGATGCTCAAACATGTGTACTTTGGGAAATTTTTTATAACTCATGTATTTTGGGAATTTTTTTTAAGAACGTGTGTACAGTGGGATTTTTCCCCCAATTTTGCAGGTAAATACACTCTTACCTCATATTTCCAGCAGCATCCTTTGGAACTAGTTAATGTGTGGTTCTTAGATACAGGGGCTACAGATCATGTTACTTGTTCTAAGTCTAGTTTCATTAGGTGTTATCCCATTCAGAATGTGTTCATTACATTACCAAATGGAACCAAAACACCTGCAACTCATTCTGGAACAGTTAGACTAACTCTCAATCTTGTCATTCACAAAGCTCTACTTGTACCTACTTTCTCTTTCAACCTTATCTCAGTGAGTAAACTGACTCATTCCCTACCAGTTACACTCACCTTCAAATTCACCATTTGTTCTATCCAGGACCTTCTGACAATAACAACGATTGGTTTTGCCAAAGAGAGTAGGGGTCTTTATCAACTCATACCTACCTCCACAGAAGAACAACCTGTTCATATCAATTCCCTCAAGACTCAAAATTTCACACCTTAGACATTTGATCTTTGGTACTGGCGACTTGGACACCCTTCTGAAGTCAGAGCTAAAGAGTTAAAGAAAAATGTTCCTAGTATAGATGTCACTTATGTTCATCATTGTGATGTTTCTGCTCTTTCTAAATAGAAACATCTTTCTTTTTCTTCAAGCCAATTAATGACAAAGGATGTTTTAGAGCTTATACATATTGATATTTGGTGGCCTTTAGCTGTTTCTAGCTACAATGAATTTTCTTATTTCCTTACCATTGTAGTCCATATGTGTTTGGACATATCTTATGAAATACAAAAGTGAAGCCAGAAAATTGTTGCAAGATTTTTGTTGTGATGGTTCAAACTCAGTTTGAGAAAACCATTAAGGTAGTTAGATCTGACCAAGAGGCAGAATTTCATATGCCTGAATTCTATTCAAAATTTGGAATCATTCACCAAATGTCTTGTGTTGAAACTCCACAACATAATGCAAGAGTGGAGAGGAAATATCAAAACATTTTAAATGTTGCTAAGATCCCTTAAGTTCCAATCTGGCCTACCCCTAAAATCTTGATCAGATTTCATCCTACCTGTTGTTTACTTAATAAACAGATTACCTATAGTGGCTATTGGCAACAAAACACCTTATGAAGTCTTATATGGTCATCCTCCTGATCTATCCAAGTTAAAGGTGTTTGGTTGTTTATGTTATGCCAGCACTTCAAGCCATAACATAACAAAGTTCTTCCCTAGAGCTAAACCATGTGTGTTTCTAGGGTTTCCACCAGCAGTTAAAGGATATAAATTATTTGATTTGCAAGATCAAAAAGTTTTCCTTTCTAGGGATGTGGTGTTTCATGAAAACATCATACATTGTTTACCTCTTCCCACCAGTAAATCACCATCACCTATACGGCTATACCTCAAGCTCCACTTTTCTCTCTTGATCTGCCACCAGATCCATTCCCTTCACAATTCTATCCTATGGATTTAGAGATAACATATGCACAAAATGTTTCCACTCCGCCACCTGTTGTTCCCTCTTCTCCAGTTCAAAACAACACTACTTCATCTCCTTCCACTTCTTCCTCTCCAACCTTGAACACTCCATCTAATCCAATAGGTTCTCCTGTTTCCATTCCACCATCTTCACAAAATTCTTCTTTGCCAATTGCTGTCAGAAAACCAACCAGACAAATTATCAAACCTATCAAGTATAATGATTGTGTTCTGAATCTAGGAACCACACATGTCAAAGCTATGTATCCTTTAGTTGCTTGTTTGTCATATGATCAACTGTCTCCAGGATATAAGAGATATGTTATGGCTGTGGAATCTACACAAATTCCTGCAAGTTTTGAAGAGGCAGTTAAGAATGAGTTCTGGAAGAAGGCTATGGATGTGGAAATAGAAACACAGGAAGCCAACAGGACTTGGGATATTGTCCCAATATCACTTAACAAGAGAGTTATAGGGAATATATGGGTGTATACAATTAAGTTTCTTACTGACGGAGAAATTGAAAGACAGAAAGCCAGACTGGTGGCTAAAGGGTTTACACAGATCTATGGAATCGATTTCCTAGATACTTACTCACCAGTTGTCAAATTAAACTCAGTAAAGACCCTTTTGGTTGTTGCAGTAGCTAAGGATTGGCAAATGATACAGTTGGATGTTAGTAATGCTTTCCTTAATGATGACCTTGAAGAAGATGTGTACATGGAACTGCCACCTGGAATCAACAAACCAGGTTATGTATGCAAGTTAAGGAAGTCACTTTATGGCCTCAAGCAAGCATCTAGGCACTGGTTTGCCATGCTAACATATGTGCTACTGTCTTTTGGGTACATCCAATCTACAAATGATTACTCCATATTTTCTCATCGTACATCATCTGGCATTTCAGTTCTCTTGGTGTATGTAGATGATATAATTATTGCAGGTGATGATACAGTGAGTATGCAGGCCTTGAAACAACATTTGAGTGATCAGTTTAAGTTAAAGGATCTTGGCCATCTCCATTACTTCCTTGGTTTGAAGATGGCTCGATCCAGGGAGGGTCTTCATATATGTCAAAAGAAGTATTGCACTGATCTCCTGACAGACACAGGATTTGTAGATTCTAAACATGTTGCCACACCAATTGACATAAAGACCAGATTGTCAGCAGATGATGGTCCTCTCATGGAGGATCCCACGGCTTATAGGAAGATAATTGGTCGATTGCATTATTAGACAAGTACTCGACCTGAGATTACATTTGCAGTACAACAGTTATGTCAGTATCAAGCTGCTCCTACAACTACACACTTGCAGCTTGCATACAGAGTTCTGAAATATCTAAAAAATGCTCCTGGTCAAGGCCTCTTCTATCAATCTTCTTCTTATCTAAAGCTAAGAGGCTATAGTGACTTGGATTGGGCATCATGTCCTGACACCAGGAAGTCCACAACTGACTATTGCATCACATTTGGATCTTCTCTGATCATATGGAAATTGAAGAAACAGGGAACATTTTCCAGATCATCATCCGAAGCTAAGTACAGGGCTCTTGCTCAACTTACGTGTGAAGTGGTTTGGATGAAGAGATTGCTACAGGAGCTAAGTATTGAACATCCACAACCAGTGAATCTCTTATGTGACAATCGATCTGCGATTTACATTGCAGAAAATCCAGTGTTTCATGAAAGAACGAAACACAATGAGATCGATTGTCACATTGTCCGACAATTCCTCCAATCCAAACTGATAGGACTGAGTCACCTTGAGACTGAGAATCAGATCGCAGACTTATTCACGAAGGGGTTGAGTCGTTTCAGACTGGATTACTTGTTGTCCAAACTGAACATACAGAATCTGTATGCATCAGCTTGAGGGAGGGTATTGAAGAGGGAACGAAGACGGCATCGTATTCCCCCCCAGAAGCAAGTGAAGAGCTGGGTAGAGACGACACCGTTCCCATTAGCGATAGATCTATTTTCCATTTACTGTACAGCTTACGTGTCATGCTTAGATTGGTTGGTAGTTTTGATTTCTGTTTGTTACCGTTGTATAGCTGTATAGGGTAAACTTTACTTCCCTTCGTGAAGAAGGGGTTGTTGATTCTTGGTATATATCGAAGGCCTTGAATCACTGAGGTGCATGCGGGTTCCTTTACAATATTCTGAGTCTGAATTCCACACCATCTCGAGCAGTTGCAACCACAGCCCTCGACTAGGAAGGATTAAACCGCCATGCAAATTTTGCCCTGAACACCTGCCCTAACACGAACTTAAGTTCTAAGTGCCAACTCTAGCCTAGATTGGTATCCATTGATTAAGACTTCATTGCATTGATCTAAACAATACTCTAATATGCAGATGATATGTATGTTGTGGTAGGGTCAACCATATTTGTTATATGAGAGAGTAGAGAAGGAACATGTAGAGAGGTAGGTTTTGACTTTTGAGAGAGAAATGACCACGTGTTTGTGGCGATCTCTTGTTTAGATTGCAAAAGAGCCCTTGTATGGGAAGGGTTTAGACCCTTAGCCTCAATTTTCATAGAGACTCCACTCAATAAATTTGGACCTCAAGGTCTTCACGACACCACAATCAAACTCCAACATCGATTCAAACTATTTCTCTTAAGTTCATTTGTCATGGACTCTAAGAATGGAAAAGTATTTGTTCTTCACAATTGTTCCTCATTCTAGTACCCACACTGATAGAAGTCATATAAATGTTGCAAACTCTACCGGAAGACTCATAAGATATGGCGGGTTCAAATCTCTTGCCTCTTACGATACTTATTGCTTATAGACTACTCTCCCTTTTCATCTCTTCTCAAGGCAAACAAAAATTTGATGACAAGCAAGGTTACCATCCAACTTCATCGAGTCAATAAACGATATGGAGGCCTATTCATTCTAAAAAAGTGATTAAGATTTATGCATGAACATTTTCCTAATAACTCGAGTTATTGAGACTAGTTGATTCATGATATGATATCAAGTTAGTTTTGAGAAAGTAATTAACATTCATACACGAACCTTTCGACAACTCAAGTTATCGAGAACATTCGATTCTTCTCCGAACACTCCTAGAAATGGTGCACCTCAACGAAATGACATTCTTTTTTTACTCGGGAGACATATCACATATGCACATGAAGTATGATTCTATAGAATCTTTATGCAAAATCCAGTGTGGAAAATTATATGCTACGAAGTAATTGAAATCACAACCTTCTATTTGTATATATGACTATCCATCACTCAAGCTGCAGGTGAAGTGTAAGTTATCTTCTCCTTGACCTCTCCACGTCACCGTCCGCTCCATGCCTGGTTTGGTGGGTTGTCCTGTTTCTGTTGGCCATTGATCCATCTGGAGGAAGAGACTCTCTGTCCTTCATGGATCTCAGTTCCTGCGATGTACAAAGCCAAGTTTAAGAAAAGAAACTTGCAATCTTTCTATTCTCGTTCCTAACGAAAATGAAAGGATACCCGATCTTATTAACTTCTGAAAGTAACGGATCTCTCAACACTTAGCTTCATAATCAAGTTGTTTGACCTTTATCTAGTAAGGTTTTGTCAGAAACGGTATTGTAGTAGAAGATCAAGTTTCCTAGGACATCTCTTTGTCATAATCAGCAGATCATGACAGAGCCCTCAAATATCTAATGAACCAGCAATGCACGCAAAGACTCGATATTCTGACTTCATATTGAATGAACAACCATGTTTGGTACAATTCATTTTCATGGCTGAACGTTGAAACTAAGCAAGAGGACTGGAAGTGAGAAAGAAGACTTACGCCGCGGAAAGGGAAGTCATCGGCTTCGAGCATATGAACAATCTGGCTCATCTTTGGTCTTTTACAGGCATCCAAATCTATGCACCGAAGACAGACCAGCAGGGCTCTTTTCAGAGCTCTTGGAGCTGGCTGGATTTCGATAAGAGGGTCCACGAGCTCTTCACCACGTCGGCTTGCCACCATCCCCTTGAACCAATCTACCAAATTCATCTGCTGCAAAAGTTCAAAGAACTGAACATGTCATTACTCTATTCTCATATGAATCCTTATCGAACCTTTGTAGAACGAAAACAAACATCTATTTATGATCACCTCGCCGGCTGGTCTGGAGTAGTCAATAGGACTCCTTCCTGTGATGATCTCCATCAGAAGAACACCAAAACTATAGACATCGCTTCCTTCGTTGAGCATTCCTGTGCTTGCATAATCAGGAGATACATATCTGCAGACAGCCACATAGGTGTGAATGAATAACAAAATACTACCAATTCTGTCACTAATGTTCTTCTGAATAACTGAATGACACAAGTCCTCATAGTAGAAGGAATGAGGTACAAACCCGAAGGTCCCCATAACGCGAGTAGTCACATAGCTTGCCTCAGAACCCAGGAGCTTTGCCAATCCAAAGTCTGAAACTTTTGCATTCCACTTCCTATCCAGAAGAATGTTGCTGGATTTCACGTCACGATGCACCACCTTAGGTTCTAAGCCTTCATGTAAATAGGCTAGCCTAAGGGAACAGACAATTGAGAAACCCATTTTGTTAAATTAGTTTCCTTCATCCTATTTAACCAACAGGAACACTGAATGAAGAGATCCAGATCCAGAAATGGCATTTACCCTTTTGCAGTCCCAATGGCAATCTTCATCCGAATGTCCCAGCTCAACGGGCTAACCGGTCCATCAACTCCATGTAACCACTGCTCCAAGTTGCCATTGTCAACATACTCATACACAAGCATCCTGAAGAATCACAGGTGAATTGGTTGCAGATGGTTTCATTTACAGCGAAAAGAATTCCTGAAATGAGACTGCAAATTACCTGCGAGGGCCATCAGCGCAATAACCAATTAGACCAACAAGATTCTTATGCCTCACTTTGCCAATGGCTTCCACTTCCACAGTGAACTCCCTCCCTGCCTGCCCTCTGCAAAAACAACAATTCCCAAAGAAGGGCAATGATTATGAATCGAGGAAAGTGAGGAAAAGTGAAAAGGATTAGAATGCCATGGCGCCATGACAAGGAAAAAAAGGGAGAAAAGAAACAAAAGAGAAAGAGTAAAAGCCAAAGCTGATGGACCAAATACCCAAAATTACAACCAGCTCCCACCGACACACTTGAGAAAAATGAATCTATACTCAAACTCTCACTTGTTATTGAGGAGGTTCTTGACGGCGACGACGGAGCCGTCGGTCAACACACCCCTGTAAACGACGCCGTATCCACCTTCCCCGATCACATTCTCCTCCGCGAAGCCACGCGTCGCAATCTCCAGCTCCTTCAAGCTGTACCACCGCCCCCAGCCCTCCACCGACACGTCCCTGCCGGAGACCACATCCCCTCCTCCCCCGCCGCCGCCGCCGCCGACGGCGGCCTTGTTCCCTCTTCCAACTTGTTTATCGCCGCTTCCACCAATTTCCTCGTCCTCCTTCCCGCAAACAACGGCGGTTTCGCAGGCGAGCTTAGTCTGCACGCTTGCTTCGAGATCCAAGGCCTTGATCTCGAGGATTTCCTTGGATACGAGCGGGATCGAGCCGGAGCTGTGCTTCACGCGCATCCTGCCGCGTCTCCTCGACTCGCGGGTCAACCGGACGCAGAGGCAGACCGTCAAGCACACCAAGATTACGCAGCCGGCGACGATTCCGATCAGCACGTAGAGCCTCAGTTTCAGGAACGGCGTCGTCGAACTCAGGGAGCTTCCGGCAACCGACATGGCCTGCCAGGCGGCGGTTGAGTGAAATGGGTTTGTTGGGATGAAGAGGGAAAAGGGGGGAAATGGCGTTTGGTTCAGCTGTTGGGTTGGGGGAGAGGAGGTGGGTTTTAGAAGGGGAGATGGAGTAGAGTGAGGGAGACAGGGGAGTGGGGTTCCAACGGATATAAGAAAGCAAAAGGGGGAGAAGAGAAGAGAAAGCTACAAAAGAAAACTAAGGAGTAGAGTGAAGAAGACAAACAATGCGGATAGGGAGAGGGACCTTTTCACTGTTTTCCTGGTTATGGTTTGTAATTTTTTTCTTCTTCTTCTTCTTCTGAAAATCTACTGTCGAATCGAAAAATGGCTCTGCGCTCTTCGAATCTGGGCCTTGGCAAAGGGAAAGGGAAGAAGAAAGACAGAGAGAAGGTTCTTCTTCCTGGTATTTATTGTTATCAGTTGTTTGTTTAAACTTTAAATTCATTTCTCGGCGCCCCGTTTCGCTTGTAGCGTAGGTTTGTGACAGAAAGTCAGAAACTCGAATTCCATTTCATTCTCTCCAATGTTAACAATGTGCACATGTACTTGGTGGATGAAGTGGCTAACAAAAAAACAGCGAATAAATATTTATAAAGATATTGATTTACATTTCCTCCATCATTAACGTTTAACGGAGACAATTCGTTCATGATCAAGTGTTTGATGAAGTATGTTAATCACACCACCTTAGTTTGGTTTCGTAGTAGATTATCCCGAAAAGTTACGATTGAACATGTTTGTAAGTATGCTAATTTGCTCATATATAGGCGGATGTGCATATTTTTCAGTGACCTTGTAGTTCACTTGCGTATTGTATTATAAGAACATTGGCTTTGGGTTGTTACTCCCATGCCATGTCAAATTAACGAATAATGTTTGTGGCACTTTTTATGCACTCCATTTTCTTTTCACAAAAATGAATTCATTGTCCACAAATTAACATACGACAAACTGTATATTTAATCCTCATATTCACCTATACCCTCTAAAATCGAGGATTTGACTTTAATCCTCAACACATCTTGTTTAGGTGAATGAAAGTCAAAATGAATGCTTTGTAATGGGATTTGCATGGCGAGGCACATGCGTTAAGGGATATTATAGTTGGAGTGGAGGCTTCTGTAGCCTCAGTCTGTCCGCGGTGGTCACCAGCAGAAGCTTGTTCCCCAATTTACTCATTTGATTTTAGGGATTATTTATACAATTTGTATTCCTCTTATTTTCCATTTATTCTCAGTACCTAATATATCGGAAGTTGTATGAAAAAAGTGAGCAATATGATATTTTTTTATATTGAAATTTGAAATTAACCGTGATTTTCTTCAAAACACCTCAGTTTGAATTTGTGACATGATTTTGGAAGATTTCAAAATTCAATGTCCAATCTCATACAACATTTCATCTGTTGGCATTTGATGGCATTCAAGTGAGGAGGAGCGCTTAGTATTCCCATTAAATACTCTCATGCACAATTTATGATATCTCGCAATTCATATTGTTTTTCTCGTTTGATTTTGGAGCTATTATTATAGCTTTGGACTCCTATACAGTGTTAAATTACATGCTAATATTATTCTCCAATTCTTTGGGTAGACTACTAGACTCAAAAGTATTGAAAAATTCGTCCAAAATGGTGGAGACCACAATTTTTGGTGTCTTTCTTATCCCTAGAAAGAGAATATTAGGTTGTTTCGATGCAACATTTTGGTTCCGTGGTATTTCGAATTAAAATGTTGCATTAGTTTAGAATGTGGTATTTCAGTTTGTGTTGTGATAATTGGATTCTAATTATTTTGTTTGGATCGACCATTCTTATATTCTGTTATTTCATCGCTCAAATGGGGGAAAATGCGTCCACTAGATGAGTGAGATGTCATTTCAAACAACTCATAATGAATTATTTCAATTGTATCATGGGGATAATACCAATTTTTTTTTTTTCAAATGGGTGTACCTCACTAAAAATATGAAAAGTTGTATCCAAACGAACTTGTATAAAGACTTGAAGTGAAGAACATGTTTGATATTTTATTGTTTTTAATTCTTTTATTATTCAATACAAATTGCATTAACATTACAATCATTCATGCCAAATATTGTATTCTGATATTACATGAAATCTTACCATCACATACCTGTAAAATGCATGATATCTTCATGGGGTTAATTGCATGGTTGGTCACTGAGATTACAAAAAATGTTCAAGTTTGGTCACTCGAAATATTTAAATCCATTGGTGGTACTACAGTTTACTGAAACCGTTCACGTTTGGTCACTCTCCGTCCAACTCCGTTAACTTTTGCTTACGTGGCAGTCAACTCTAAAAGTTGATGATGAATTTGCAAAGCAATCGGACCTCGTAAGCCGCCTTGTTCTTCTCCTCTGCCCGCATCGTCCTTGCAAGAAACCTGGATAGGAATCTCATCGCCGCGTCCGCGAAATTGCTTCCCGGATTTATGGTTCTAGCAATGTTCGAGCCGCCTTGGGTTGCGGTTGCGGCTGTCGTCGACGACGACAGAGAGATGCCGTGATCGATTGAGCTCGTGACGAATTCTGGGTTGGTTGTGGCTAACTGGCTATTAAGGTCTGCAATCGATGCGGTCGGTGCGTGGCGGGAAAGAGCACTGCATTGCGATCTTGTGGTCTCTGTGCAAGAATGGCGGAGTGGAAGTGGTGCAATAATTTACAATTTTTAATTTTATCTTTTTAATAGTTAGAAATGAGGTGGAAGTTTTAGAAAAAATTAAATTTTATTTATTTAATTATTTTTTAATTGCCATGTCACACATTTAACGGTCAACTTTTAGAGTTGACTGCCACGTAAGTAAAAGTTAACGGAGTTGGACGGAGACTGATCAAACGTGAACGGTTTCAGTAAACTGAAGTACCACCAATGGATTTAAATATTTCGAGTGAACAAATTTGAACGTTTTTCGTAATCTCGGTGACCAACCGTGCAATTAACCCTATCTTCATGTATTCTAAAATACTTCTACTCTTCACTACCCGAGAAACGTGGGCCTTTGGGCCTGTGGGGACCGACTATCCTAGATTCGGCATTATTTCCTGGGCCTTAGGTTTTGTTGATTGTAGTATTGCTGATCCAGTTGGTTCTTCGGGTGGTCTTGTAGTTGCGTGGAATTCTGATGTTTCACTTTCGTTTCTTTGTAAAGACTATTATTATATTGCTTTGCGTTTCAGTGTTGGTAATATTAATTGTGTGCTGGTTTTTGTGTATCTCTCGTGTGATGACTCTATTCGGCGGATGCAAATGAATTATTTAGCTTCCTATTGTTCTCTTCTTGTTGTTCCGTATATGGTGTTTGGAGATTTTAATGATCTCTTACATTCGAATGAGAAAATAGGAGGCAGGCCTTTTGATATTAACAGATCTTTACCCTTCCGAAAATTTGTGGATGATTTAGGTTTAATGGATATAGGTTTTACAAGTCCTCAGTTCACTTGGTCCAATCGTTATTCGGATGATTCTGTTGGTCATCAGTCATGTGTTAGGACTTTGGATAGTTACTGTTTGATCTATTGTCCTCCGATTATCGTTGTCTCTAATTCGATATTTCATTGCTTGCACTAGGCTTTGCTACACCATTGTGACAGCAACTGGTTCATCTGTGCCCGGATAATGATTGTGAAAGGAGGACAAACACTATCAATTTCAGTTTTTTTGCTTCTTTGTACGGTCCAGAATTGGGAAAAGAGCTTCATTCCTTTGAATGATCAGTGTTTGTTAGTGGGTTGAGTACTCATGTAATAATAGTGTTTCCTATGCATTGATTGCTTGAGGCTGATTCTAGCAATGCACTTTTTTAATCCGAGCCCACCTCCTGTGTTAGCTGAAGCAAGTTGTTAGATCCAATGATGATATGTCTGTTAACTTGCAGTGGCAGATTTTTCTTCAGACATTCTTAATAGAGGCAAATCTGTGGCACCTGAATCTGTGAGGTGTATTGTTCTTCATTGTACTTGAAGTCCTTGTGCTACCATTGGATTTGAGGAACTTATTCTGCTGTTAGGTTTTTTTATGTCCTATGCTCTTGGCATCCTCCCTTGTGCTCTAGAACTACACAACTTCTGGACCAATCCGATGTCATGGCCTTATCTTGGTCTCCATTTCTGTACATAATCGTTGCATCTTTCCGTCTAATCATTTGTCCAATGACTTGGTGTTCAAACGTATGATCTTGTTCGGTTCTTTGGCTTATGCGTTCTTCATCACATGCTTGTATTAGCTTGTCGCACTTTAAAAACATTCTTTGCTTTGATTTTGGTTAGCCACTGATTTTGTCCCTTTTTTTTTTTTTGTGAATTTCCTAGACTTTGCGATTCCTCGGTGACAAGGAATCCAGTTTTTTCAAACCAACTTGGATAGAACCTGAGCAGGCTTACTCATCCTCTTCACTCTTCTTGTTCTCGCTCCATGCAGTTTCAAGTAACTGTTTACGAGCTAGTAGGTGCCCTTCATATCTTGGCAGCAGCCATAGGGAACTGATTTTGACTAAGGGTTTATGTGTATCCATTGTTATCTCGAGTGGCAACCATTAGACTAATGTATGCTTGATGACATTGGTAGAATGAGTTCGTGAATCGTTAAGATATACTGCTTCTCTAAGAGTTGTGTTGTTAGTTTGGTTTAAGTCAAAATCTTTCAGCAGCGGGCACCCTGCTATGAATAACAGTCATACTCTGTTCTCCATCTCCTGCTTCTCATATGAGCCGTTTGGAACCTGAGATTTTGAATGATGTTATTTTGGAGAACACATGCATTTCAGAAATCCATAGTTTTTAGATTATATGCGACAATCAAGTAGATGAACATGGAAAGGGCATCCAAGTACTGAGTCTCTGTTTTTGTCCCTCTCTGTCTCGTTCATTTTTTATCGACCGTCTAATCTGATTCCCAGGTCAATTCGTATCCACATATTGTAGCCAGTCGTCTCGAACCAGTGGGCTCACACACCCACTGAAGCTTCATACGTTTCAGGTAGTCGTGTGCCTAATCGCTTGCCACTAATCACCTCTTTTCTAAATTCTGGTCTTGACCACAAAAAGAAGACTATTTCCTGCCGACCATGTGAATAAGCTTATATAAGATTTTTAATTAGAACCGATTTTAGTTGCAAATTGACAATGCAGCTATAATGAGATAAGAATTGAATTTAATGTCACTATCAATTACACCGGCCTCTGTGATTCTGAATGCTCCTGCTGTCCGTTTCTGCTTGTTCTTAGGATAAGATCTAGAGAATATCGGATGCAGGATGACCCTACTGCTCCTGTTAGCTCTTCAATTCCATTCCTAGAATACATTTTCTATCCTCCTTAATGAACATGCAGCCCACCATTTTCATTTCAGAAGAAAAGAGGAAAAATCCCCTTCATACCCCATCTCCTCTGTTTTCTCCTTCGTTTACGCAATCGGATCCAATCGCAAGTCAAAAGTTGGAACCCATTTTTCCTTCAGGACATTCAACAATTGGGCTCTTTCCCATTCGTTCTGATTGTTGAAAAGGCTACGGGGTTTTCTTCTTCCTTCTGGGTTTTGATATGTCAAGTTTGCTACTGGTACTGCTTGTATTTCTATGGCGTCGGTGTCCGGGTAGAGGCGCATCAAAAGCTGTGAAAAGTGAAAAATCCCTTTGTCGCTGGAGAAGTAGAATTTCTTCTCGCAAAGGCCTCCACTTCGATCCAAAGATTGGGGCTTTGAGATTGTTGGGGTGAACGGTGAGTTGGTTTACCCTGTTTTAACCTCTTATCTTATTTGGGCATTACGTTACCAACAATTTTCTCATTCCTCTTGCTTCGATTGATTTGAGACTGCTTACCAGAAAGAAATAAAGAATACTGTCTGCTTGCTTACTTCACATGCTTAATTTATGTTCTAATGCCTTCAGCTTTGCTGGGATGTCTTGTGTAGCTCTTTGGAATGTGATATACTCTGTTGTATGATCCAAGTTCCTATCTTTATTTACTGGGCTTGTTCCATATTGTTCTCTTGTCTTGTTCCATATTAGGTGAAGAGATATACCGTGAATGTTTCATTTTGTTAGAAACTTCTTTTACTGTTTTCTCAGTGCACTTTTGGCAATAAATATCAATTCTGAGCCTTTCTGGCCTGCTGTTTATTGGGGATGGCTTTCATCCCTTACCAGAGTATTTGGAATTATGCCTGTTTGTCTCATCTTCTTATCACGTTATCCCTTTGTTTCTTTCCTTCTTCTATTTGCATATGCTGCCTGCTTGCCTCCTTGGTCCTCACTTACCTTCAACTACCCCTCTTTTGTTACTCCTACTGCAGTGGACTTGAATAGCCAGTGCGAAAACACTCTGTATATGTGACTTACTGTCTCCTACTGTTCCCTCTACTTGCCACTGGACTTGAACAGCCAGTGGAGTTTAGATTCCTTTGCTCAATCGTGCTACTGCTCTTGCTTGTATGTAGTTCTATTATATTGATTTTCAGGGATTTGAGTTTCATCAATGTGACATTATGAGTTTTTGCCTGCAGCGGATAGGAATAGCATATGAACTGACTGGCTGGACATGATGGAAGCATTTTGTTGAAGATTGGAAAGAGTAGGGATTGATTGATCAATTAGTTTCTTCAGCTTCTGTTATGGAGAAAACATCTAATGGATATACTAGGCCTAAGGAAAATGGCCATAAGGTATCACCATCATCATTACCTTGGCTTGATTTGAAAGTATTCTACGTCCGAGTTAGCAAGTGTAAGATTGACGATTCAGAAACACCGGAATACCTTATTGTAAATCACGTTCCGTTGACTCCTGATAGCCTTCTTGAAGTCAATGGTGTTAGGACACTCATAGATTCAGACGGAGCATCCACCCTCCTTCGAAGAGACCGGCTGGATAAGAAGTCTGAGGAAGCTACATTCGTGAGCACAGACAATGTGAGGACGACAGGTAGCATGAGGTTCAATGTTTTCAATCACGATACGCTGATATTCCACGGGGAGTTGGAACTGAGAAACAATTATCATCAGAGATGGAGCATGAAGTGCGAGTCAGACATTGTAGCTACTTGCAGCAGCAGCACCAGCTTCCTGAAACCGAAACAGTTTATGGGTTCAGAATCACCGAGCTCGCCTAGGATCGAGGTCTATGTTGCAGGATCATTCTTGGGGAGCCCGATTATCTTAACCAAGGGTTTGCATCTCAATGTTTATGCGAACAGAACGATTATAGGAGGATTCATGAATTCTATACCTGAACATGGTGAGAATGTTGGGACTCTTAAGGAGAATGAGCCATCCAACTGGCTTCATCTACAGGTACATATCTAAGTGTGTATTGTGTTTCTAAGTATGATAGATGATTAGTTAGAACTGCATAGTGATTTCTTTTTTATCTTTGTTGTATTGATGACCGATGCAGTCAGCAGAATCCCCGTATGTACAGAAGCCTGACAATGAAGAAGGGTACAATGATGCCTACCGGGGGATGGATTACCGCTACATGGAGGAAGGTGAAGACGGGGAGCTGTCGTGGTTCAATGCTGGTGTTCGAGTTGGTGTTGGGATCGGATTGAGCGTTTGCCTTGGGATCGGTATAGGTGTAGGGTTGCTGGTTAGAACATACCAAGGCACAACTGGTAACCTCAGGAGGAGGCTATTCTGATTATGGAAGTTAGCAACGACAATACACTATGGAAAAGGCCAACTTCTTGTTTGTGTGATCGAATTTTAGTACTTAGACGTTGTTAGGAAAACCATTTTGATGCCATCAGTTTGACATATGCAGAAGTCGTTTTCATTGTGGATTTTGGGTGACTATGATGTGAGTGGTTGATTTTCATGATTTCAAAATCACCCTGATTTCTTCTCGACAACCCAATGCAACCAATTCAATAGGACTTGTTGAAGGAGAGATGTTCTTAGTGACAGAGCATTCAAGAGTTCTGTTCTACCAAAGCCAATACTAATGATATTCACAAACTCGTTCAACAATACTTTCACACGTAATCATTATCTTTACTCTTAAGAACCGTTCATAATGAATTCTTATTGGAAGATTAGTGTCATGTGGTCATGTGGAGATTTGAATATAACACTTTGTTACTTGATAAAACAAAACAAACGGTAACACAAATAAACTAATATTACTAGCATTGAACCCGTCCCTTGGGTGAGCTGAGTTTTATTTCTTATATTTATATTAATTTTAAAATTTTCATTATTTTAGGTCCTTGAAATCTTAAATATTGTTCTAATAAAACTTTCATAAATGATTTATGCTCCTTTATGTTCTAATGCTTTGTGAATAGTGATTTGCGATCTTTCGAGTATGATCTCAATAAAAATTTGTTAAACCATGATTTGGTGCAAGTAATTTGTCAACCGATCACTCCTTAACTTTGATCCTATCGTTTAGGCAATAAGGAGTAAGAACATTAAACTCAGATTTATTAAAAAAAAAAAATTTGTCATCATTTCTGTAATTATTGTAATGAATTTATTTATAAGAATACAAATTATTAGTGATTTTAAACATGCATACCGTTTCTTTGTAACTTTCGGTTTTAAAGTATTTTCATTAAAAGTGGATAGCAAACTAAAGATCAACTTTAAATTTTCAACCTTATCTCTTATATTTGAAAACTCTGATTGCATATTTGACATGCTTTTATCATTGTCCTTTTTTTTTTCCAATTATCATTGTCCTTTTTTTTTTTCCAAAGTCAGTTGTTACAAAATCAGACATACAGAGAAAATAAAAAGAGCGCGGGAGTCGACCAATAGTCGAACTCTCGATGAGAGGGCCTTGAATGCCACATGATGGGCAGCCCTATTGAGACAACAGAGAACAAAATAGTAAGAAACCCAACTATTTAACTTGATGATAGTTAACATACAAATTTATTGTAGATTTTAATTTTATCAAGACATCAGCCACAAATTAAGAATTTTCATAAAAACAAACTCATGTTTTATCATTCTAAAAAGCTCATGCTTTCTATGAAGAACAAAGGTCATGTTTCTAGACAAAATATTTTGATAAAATTAATGTTGGGAAAAAGATCCGTGTAATAAAAATACATTCGAGACGCATTTTGTTTCTCATGTGGAGCATGAGGTCTGCTACTTCAACATGTATGAGGTTATAAAGGTGACAATCCCCCACCATATTAATATTATGAGATAGAGGAGTTTTTTTATCGATAAAAATAGGGTTAATACAATATATTAGCCACAACTATGAAAATTCAAATTATTAGCCATAAATATTGTTGCAGGTCAAGATATGGCTAACTGTCTGTTACTGTTATTGAATTTTTTACGGAGAAGGCCACGTCATCGGCCACGACAGCGGCCACGTAGGAATGCTTTTAGGTTATAACTTCAAAACATAAAAGTTCAGTCAGTATTACTAACGAAATTGTTAACAGATAGTTAACATTTGGCTAATAATTTGAATTTCAATAGTTGTGGCTATAATTCCCCGCTTCATAATAGTTGTGGCTAATATATTGTATTTACCCATAAAAATATCATTGAGCTGGTTTTCGATAAAAGAATATGTATATAAAAGAACAATATATAAATTGCTTTTATAAAGTGCTACACATAATAATTAAAATAAACAAAGCATGGGCAAAAATTTATTGGTAGATTCCATTAGGTGAAAACCTAACTACTGCCTTCAAAAAACAAAAACAAAAGTATTTATAATTAAAAAAGAAACGTTAATCCTAACTACCACACATATACGTGGAAAAAACAAAAATAATTTTAAAAAAACTTAAAAACAAAAAAAAAGTCAATTTCGCTGTAGTGCCCATAGCGGAATCTGTGTGCACCAACTCACATCGCAGGGGGAGGCAACGTCGTCCAAGACAGGAACGGAAGGCCAAGATTGGTCGGCTGCGTGACCAACTGGGGGAAGGAGAGTAACCGACAAGGAGCTGGGGGGGGGAGCCGAGCTGAAGGGTTTTTAGTAGGGCCCTACACACCCAAGGAGAAAGCAAAAAGGGGGGACTCAAGGGAAAAACTCATACCTAGAAAGCAGGGGACAGAGGGAGAATCGTTCTCGCCGGTATTCAAACGCAAGAAAGGCCGGCCGAACTATAGAGAACTCGAGGAAGGACGGTTCTTCCTCGTCAAAGATGTCCTGGTTTTCGGCTCGCCTGCTCATCACCTAACTCCTTCCTAGTCCTCGCCTTCCTTGTTTCAACGTGATCGGCTTCCTCCTTCTTTCTCGTCGGGTCAAGATATCTTTGTTTTTGGGTGGGGTGGCGGTTTCTGGGTCGAGGAGAGCAAAAGAGAGGAAGAAGAACTGAGAAATAAGAAGAAGAGAGAAAGAAGAAAAGAAGAAGAGTGGAGGATATGGTTGGAGTGGACAGTTTTAGTTTTAGTTTTTTTCAATTTCAAATATCTCTCACCTAGCGACCCCATCCCTTTCCCTCTACACTCGACTCAGCTCAGCTGGCTTCCCTTTCCCCCCTTTTCTCTCTTACGCCCAACTTGATCATTCCTGGCCAATCATTTTTGGCTTGGATGACGTGGCCCAATAAGAGTGTTATGAGTTGGTGCACACAAAAAATGCAATGTACACCATACCGAAATTGGAAAAACGCGGTGAAGAGTTTGAGGCTTACGTGAAGGGGTCTTTTTATGAAACTGCTTTAATATATTTTAAGATTCATAAAACAGTCAAACAAACCAATATTATATGAATATTATACTTATTTCTAATAACTATTCATAATTTATCTCATGGATGATTAGCAAAGTATATTAGGGATTTGAGGTGACTATTTACTACTTGAAAAGCAAAACAAACCTTCACAAAATAAACTAATATAATTCATAAAAACAGACATATAAAAAGTATTAACAAGTAACTAGTTTCCATATATAGCAATTTATACATATATAGCAATTTATACACATGTTATATAACATGCGTTTACTATATCTATATGTGTTATATATGTGTTAGTTGCATCATTTTATTAAGTTTGTTTTATTTATTATATGTATGTTACTTTTTTTAGAGAAATATGTATGTTACTTGAATAACAATTCTTTGCATCTCTCTCATTGCTTCAACAACATCTCTTCTGGGGGATAATACCTGTTAAATCAACAATATAATAGAGCACTTCATGAATAATTGGCAATGCTAAAATATTATTTGTAGAATAAACTAGTTGATAATCAACATACCATATGACGATTGTGTTGGCTGGGGAAGGATGACAACCAAAACCTGGAGCTTGTGGTTGGCCTCCTTGGCAACCCTAACCAATTCAGCTCTAACATCCTCACTTCCGGGAGAAGAGATTGGAACTATAGGATCCACACTGAATGTCTATCAAATGCGAGAGACGATAAGAGCCGAGATTGAGTAGGAACTATTCATAACATCACGTACGTAGCAAATTAATACCATTCCATTAAGGTTGCAAAACCTGACTGCAGTAGCATTTGGTAGAAAAGAAAAGTTCAAACACGTCCAGTGCTCAATTCTTGAGCCTTCTATCACTTTCTGCAATAACAAACAAGTCAAACATATAAGTGGAGCAAGAAATAAGAAAAGAAGGTAGTAAAGTGTATGAACACTTTGTTGGATAATGAAAATAAGACGAGGAAAAGATACAAGAATCACTTAAACTATAAGAGTCGATCTCCCATGTCTGCCACAAATAAGCTCCACTATTTCGGTATTCCGGTATACCGGATTATCGTCGATATATGATCGGATATTATCCGGTATACCGTATTGCCAAATCACGCCATCGAATACCGATACCGCCGGTATTCGGTATACCGGATACCGCCGGTATCCGGTAATACCGAATACCGGCTTACCGATTATCACCCCTACTTGGAAGACACCCTCATTGATAAATGCTCGTCATGATCACCCTCCTTGCTCCATCGTTGATGAATTCCTACAATTTTCAAATACCAAATTATCAAATTAAATTAAAGTTACTATTGTTAAGCCAAAGTATGAATTAACCAAATATATTGGACATCAGCCTTGAGGTCCCTCATGATGTTAGACGTGATTAGTTTCTTCTACTCCAGATATCTAAGATCGTTCCTCCAGGCAAGATTTTCGTAGTCGTTGCCTTCGCCTCCGATCACAAATAGAGAAGACTCGGGACGTTAACGATGGTATGTGAGGGCACAAGAAAAGTAGACAATGTTAATGGAAAGACTGAGCATAACAAGGGATTTATGTATTGTATGTGATATCAAATGGATTATGTAGATGTTGACAGTAAATCGAGCAAACTTACCTGAATTTATTGAAAACAAATAGAACATATTTATTTCTAATAACTATTCATAATTTATCCCATGGGGTGATTAGCAACGTATATTGAGAATTTGAGTGAAGTGACTATCTAATGAAAAATATTAACAAGTATAGTTTCCATATATAGTAATTTATATACATGTTATGTAACATGAGTTTACTATATGTGTTATGTATATATGTGTGTTTGTTTTACTTGCATCTTTTTATTAAGTTTGTTTTATACTATGAAAGTGTATTATTTGTGTTATATGTATGTTACTTGAATAAAAATTATTTGCATCGCTCTCATGGCTTCCATAACACCTATTCTGGGGGGTATTTGAACCTTATACCAACATAAACCAATTAAAACAAGCTTACTATTAGAACTAGAAAAGTACAAAACGACAGAAAAACAATCAAGCTTCACTGCTAAATATTAACCAAAGAACAACGGTACAACCTCAAAATATATACTTCCCATCAAATTTTCACTCAACCAAGTTATTCAATATCAATTGCAACTTGACCGGGAGGGGGGGATTGTTCTGTTTACCAATAGATGCGTAGTAATTAAACACCTATTAGATGAGCTGGTTGGAGGATTGGATTGATGGATTGATGGATTAAATGGAGTGGATCAAATGGATTCATGGATTGGATCAAGTGGATTAATCCATTAATCCAAATGA